GCGCGGGCACGTTGCCGCGCGACGATCTTGGATATCTCGCCGGCCACGCGCCCGCGCCGCGGGGGATAGCGCTATTTTGCTTGTAGCGCGCGTCGTGCCGCGGGCGGCCGGCGGCCGGCGCGTATGCTAGGGATCGCACGCCGCTACGTTCGTACATCAGAGCGCCAGTCGCCGTCTACGACCACGCGCCACCGCACGCTCTGCGACCCATTCCAAAATACGTGCGTGCGTTTCACTTTCCAGCTGTCTCCTCATCCCTTGCGTGGCGCGGCGACGCCCACGACAAGTTTCCATTCCGCTCGTTGTCCCTACGTCTCGCAAGTTTCCGCAGTCTCTCAGTCTCGCGGATGCCGGTCGTCTCGGCGACGGCATGCAAGCCCTGGTTGCAGACCTCGATCCCGTATGCGCGGGGCAGTTAATTGACAACCGTCGCCTCAACACACAAACCGTCTTCACGTTCGTAGAGCCGTGGATACCACTCTGTTCGATGTCCGAAAAGTAGCCGCGAGCCTTTATTGTACTGTTAGCTGGTTGTGCCGAGTTTTCATCTACACCCTACGACGCGGCTTCCTTAGTATCCTCCTTGGCCTCTTCTGCGTTTGGCGCATCCACCTTGGCCACCTCTTCTGGCGACTCCTTGCCCTTGGCTTCCTCCGCCTTGACCTCCTCGCCAGCCGCCGCGTCTGGGTCCTTTCCGTCCAGCAGCTTCCTGAGGTAGTCTCTCGCGCTGTCATACGCCTCTTTGAACGCGGTAGCATTCGTCGAATCCCTAAAGCGGATCGCGAGGGTAGCCTCGTCACGCTCGCCGTCCGCGTAGTCAACGCCATGCCATACCCACGAGCGATCCGAGCCCACGTTCTCCCTGAGCTCGACCGAGGGGTTGATGTAGTGATTGAGGCAGATCTTGAGCGTCTTCTCGCGGCGCATGAGCAGCCGGATCTTGCGGTTTTCCTTGTGCTTGAGGATGCGCACGTCGCCCGTGCCGCGCTCCTTCCACTCTTTCTGCTCCTTGTTGAAGCGGAACAGCTTGGATCGCATCTTGAACACCACCTCCTCGTCCTCCTCGCCCGTCTTCGTCTCCACCTCCGCCAGACGCACCACTGGCTCGTACTCCTTCGAGCAGTCCTCGTCCTTCACGATCGCTTCCGCGTCCTTGGTCGGTGCCGCCGGCGCGGCCGGCGTGGCTACGGGATCACTCATCGCGAGTCAGAAGCCCAAAAAAACAAGACAATAATCGAGGAAGGGGAGGAGGGGGAGGCTGCAGGCAAAGATCAAGCGCTGGCGGAAGTTGGTGCCGAAGCAATAGTTGAAGTGTAATGACGTGGAAAGCTTGTACTACCGCGGGGAAGATGGGTATTGACAAAGTGAATGGCGAAGACGGAAATACGGCCGAGCTGGATAGGTTGGTGTCGAGCGGGGGTGTGGACAAGATCTGTAAAATGAGTGATTTCTTCCATTCCAGCAGGCGAAGGTGTTTGAGCGCGCCCGGCGGCGATTCGTCATGTGATGCGCTGTGAAAAGTGAATAAAAAAAGAAAAAGGTTGAAATACCGTAACTTGCGAAAGCTATTGGACCCGACCGTTCCCGCCTATTAACGTGCGCCAATGGCAGCACCGCGGTTCGGTGCGGTTTCGGCATTCACCCAACCGTTGCCATACATGTGCGCAGACGTGATTTGCTGTTCTGTCCACATCGGCCAGGGCCTGTCTCGCATCTGACCCGTTGTAATACGTGTGCTTCTCTGTGTGCCCCTCTGTGACAAAGGGGCACACTTGAAGAATTGGCTGTCGACAGCCAATTCTTCAAGTCAAGCTTTCCACGGACCGATTTTGCAAACCACAATTCTGCACCCCAGTCGGCAGAAGCAGGCGCCGCAGCCATGCCCAAGCCATACGTAGCTTCACCCTTCGTTGCTCCGGCGGCCAGCGAACGCGGGGCCGCCGCCGCCGCCGCCGCCGCCGCCTCTGGCGGGGGCGGCGGGCATGCGCGCCGACCGCCGTGCGCGCGTGCTCAGCTGCCGCGCCGGACTCCGGCGGGGCTCGTGCACACGTGCCAAGCGCACGGGCGCGCACCCGCGGCAGAGTGCTCGCGCCAGACCCGATGTGAGTATTCGCGAGATGTAAACAGCCAATGGCGCGCCGCGCGCTGCCCGGCAGTGTCCGGCGCAATTGGCGCTTTTTTTTTTTTTTCCGCGCGCGGGCCGCCGCATGGCGGGACTCCCGCAGCGGGCAGGCAACACACCCAGCCCCCAGCCCCCCCTACCAGCCCCCCCTATCCAGCCAGCCCTACCAGCCAGCCCCCCGCCGCAGGGGCGGATCGCTGCGCCCCCCGCCACACAGCGCATGCCGCCCGCACGACCGCCGCGAGCGTGTGCTGCGTGACGTGCCGCCCGCCTGCAACGCCCCGCGCTCAGCGGGCACGGAGGGCAGCGCGCGTGCAAGGCTGCACGTCCGCGGACGCGTCCGCCTCCGGCAGACAGTTTCGCAATGGCGGAAATTCCCGCCTGGGCCGTTGTCCCGGCAGTCGATGCCCGCGGGAGTGAGGCTGTTTGTGCATGTACTGTACAAGGAATTCCCCTCCTTGCCTCTCGAATACCATTCCGTCATTTCGAATGTCGCTTCGCCTACACTGCACAGCGCACTAATGCACTGCAAACTTTTCTGCAGAAGGGCTAAGCTAAGCACTCTGTCCCCTCACTTCTCCTTGTCCCGTACCTCGCCCCTCTCATTACTGTCACGAAAGCTCCACTTGACCCAAATAACCACCAGTGTGTTTATCAAAAACGTCCAGCCTCGCCAACTGTCTTCGTCACATCGCACCAGTCTTAACACTCTCTAGAACATAGTTTAAAGAAGCCGGAAAAAATGCCATGGAACAATACAACGCGTAGCCTCGTTCCCTCTGTTTTTTGTGCGTTTGTGTTGTCAGGTGTCAAAGACACTTCGCCCTAATGATACATCTAATGATACATGTCTCACTGCTGCTTAAACACAAAATATACCGAACCACCCTTCTGCCCATCTATCTTCGTCCCCGCTCAACACTACCTTGAACAGCTTTTGCGCCAAACCTACAACTAGGGTAACAAATCTTCGACACCAGTGCAGGTTGCGGAATGCCTGGCTCCTGTCGCTCACATATGTCCCGATCCCTCACTCAATCCCGTAACCCCTTACCTTTCAGGTCTGTGCTTCTCACTTGTACCTTTCTCATGCTTTGCATCTGGTAACGGAAGTCGCCTTTGCTCATACAACCTTTGCATCCCCCTTTCGTCTCGTCGTGGTGGGCTACTGTGCGTAGGAGCAGCCATCGCCGTGCTCGCCGCATGCATCGTTCCGTACCGATGATCCGCGTACATCCCCCGCTGGTTTTGTAGTCGCGGAAGCGGAAGGCTTTGCAACGCGATGTTCCCTGCACTGTCTGGGAAGCCGTCAGGGTTTGGGCCTTCCTGAGAGTTTCGCCTATTGGGATGTCCCTTCTGCCTCATGGACACTGGGGGACCTGAGTCGACGCCGGCAAAATTGGAATGCCCTGCCGCCGGTCTTTGAGTTGGTGGTTGGGAGTGGGAGGAGTTCGGAGCGAGAGGGAGACGACTTGATGAAAAGGGAGTGGGGACTGCCGTTTGAACCGGGGCTTGACCAACTACATTTTGAAGCAAAGAGCCGGGTGGGTGACGTGATGCGTCAACACTAGGGTGGGGAACGGACGCGACATCGCTTTGGGATGTACCGAGGCGCGAGGGAGTTTTTGACATTGGTACTAGTGAGCTGGAGTTGTTCAAAAGTGAGCGTAGATGATCGCATTCTGCTTTGGAATGATGCAGTGCTGTTTGCAGGTCTTGAATCTTGGTGGCTGCGTCTTTGACATACGCGACGGTATCTTGCAGGACGGAGACCTTGTCAGTTCTGCCACCGTTTGGGTTTGAGACCCATTGACGAAGCTGGGCGATCTGTTGGGTCATGCGCATTCGACGCTTCTGTTCGACCTCTCTATGCAGTTTCTTGGGTTTTGCGATGCCGCCGTCGGCGACTGCGAGTTGCGGTGGTTGCGATGCGATTTCTGCGGAGAATGAGGAGGGAGGGTAAGTGTAAGCGTGAGGTTGGTGACGTGGGGCGTCTGGTTCAGATGAAGGGGTTCGGAAGGGGTGGGAGGGGTGATACGGAGATGGGAGCGGGTGGTCCGGAGCGGGATGATTAGTGCGAAGATGGTGGTGAGGGTGAGGGATGACTGGAGGGATGTGATGGGGATGATCTTGTCTCACGGGTGAGGCCTGCATTGGGGGATGCAGAGGATGCAGCGGGGTAGTGACTGGTGGTGAAGGGATGTGATGCGGTTGGTTGCCGGGAGCATAGCGGGGAGTGGGGCGGCGATTTCTGTCCATATAACGCGGTTGGGGAAACAGAGATGGGAGGGAGGGGCGGGCTTAGTGACATGAACGATGGGTCGCGGTTTTGTTGTTGTTGATGGTGCCAGGGGACTGGCCCGAGGAGAAAGAATGGTGCAAATAGCGCGTTTTCTTTCGACCGTGGGGGTTGAAGGTGTGGGTAATCAAGTGGGCACGGAGGATGCTAGATGTGGGGCGGAAGGTTTGAAGGATGGCATTACTCTGACGAAGGGGTCGAGGCGACGACGGAGGAGAGAATGGGTGTGGGGGTAACACGAAGGGGAGGGAAATGAAGAGAGCGGGGAGAAGATAGAAATGTGTCAGCACTGGGATTTTGTTTCGGGAAGGACTAGAGTGAAATGATGAATTGGAGAAGCAGGGTAGGAGGCAAGTGGATGTGAATTAGGGCGGGCTGGAGGGGGGGGGAAGGG